TTGAACTGATTCAGTCTTTCTTATCAAATCACGAGAGAACTTTGTCTTGAACCGCCAATCGTCTAGACCTTTTGCATTAATGTCAGCGTCCACCAGGGTTCTACCCTTAGACCTACGTTGTACTTAATTTTCATCAACGACCTTCCTGATATCATTCAGTTGTCATTTCACTATCTATGCCAGTGACAACTATTTACTCCTGTCTTAATAGTCAGTCTGATCGGTTTGATAAACTCAAATTGGTAGCTTAACTGGATCAAGGAAGAGCTTATAAATTTTCACGCCTCTAAAACTAATTGTTCTATATTAATAATCTTAGAGAGAGATTTTTGTCTTCCATCAGCGTAGCTGAGAGTAACCTGAAACGAATGACTCTTCACTCCTTCTCGGGCTAACGTTTCCCGCTTACATAGAGTAGAAGGATTATAATGAATCAATTACTAAGTCTTCTGTTAGGAAAATTTGGTTCATGGTGACGTGCGAGACAATTTTCTCGCCCGAATTTATATTGCATATTTATAAGTTTATTATTCCTCCATGATTTGACTATTGATGCAATATATTGTCTGGTACTACTATATATTTAGAGATCTTTTCTAAAATCCTAAGAAGAATCTGTAATATCTGTTGTCCTGACCTGGCATCTCAGCTTCAGTCACTTTCCCATGTAATGTAGCTTCTCTTTGTATTTTCTGTAAATACTTTCAGGGTAATTTTTCTTTCCTCTATGGTAGCTAGACTTTATGGATTTAAGTACATTAATAGATTGGCGGCAATATCTCGTCATTTTACAGTTGAAATGGAGAGATATAAGCGTACGTTCTAGGTCAACAGTTTCTTTTCTCGCACTTCTCGCTTGCTGAACACTCTTTCGGCTTCTTGCTTTTCAAACAACTTTGATCTTAAATTTAAATACAATGTCAGTCGTTTTCTTCTGTCTTCTTAATCACTGTTTTTTTTTTTATTGTTGCCACTACTTAATAACGTTTCTATATTCTTTCACACTCAGTAACCTCCTGCATCTTTATTGTTTTGTTGCCTTGCTTGGGGTTAAATAATTAAAATAAAAACAAATATTTAAAAAAAAATCGGTAAAATCTAACTCTGTCGCGAATTCAATCTATATTGGGTAGATATCCCTTAGCATACGCACAATATAGCCAAAATTCGAATCTTACTAATATATATATATATATATATATATATATATATATATATATATATATATATATATACACACACATATACACACACACACACACATATATATATATATATATATATATATATATATATATATATATATATACATATGATAAATATAGTCCTAAATTATGCTATATTTACAGAATAAGTGCTTAAAATCATGGATATAGCGTAAGTAAGTATAAAAGTGTGCCATGAAGTCAACAGCAAGAGTCTCTTGGTGTTGATTTCAATGTCCACTATATATATATATATATATATATATATATATATATATATATATATGTACAGCAAAAAAAAACTAAAATTACCTCAACATAGAAATTTATTTTCAATGTCAGTCCTCCTCTGGTAGACGCCTTGTTAATGAGAATGGCTTTGTCTTAGCGATTGGTGGTGGCGTAAGATAACTTATCCCGGGGGAAGCGGCCTGGGGTTGGAGTTTGTTATGGCCAGAACCTTTGTTGTTTGTAGTGTTTAATATCAGTCCCTACTATTTGGCGTTTCTTATACAGGCCCCAATTGTGTTTTCTAGGATTCACATAATATATATATATATATATATATATATATATATATATATATATATATATATATATTCACAGTATATATATTCACAGTACATATATAAAATAAAATATCACCTCATATGGGGAATAGCCTATTTCGGCAGACGAAAACACTGGTCGTCTGTGTATTTCAACCCCGGCGTAGACAGAGTTCTTGTTAGAAATAGAAATTTAACTGCCGAAATAGGCCTTTCCCCATATGAGGTGAGTACAATGGGCTGAGAATGTGATCAGTGATCAAATTTTAGAGATAATTGCAACAAAAAGGTCACTTCTACTTAACATCAGGAAGAGTCAGTTGAAATTTCTAGGGCACATAATCTGGGATTAGAAAATTTGATAATCACAGGACAGACTGAATGTAAGAGACAGACGAAAGTAACGCATAGCCTACTTGGTGAGCTTGGGTGAATGAATGGCGAAGCGGTATTTGAGAAAGATGGCAGAAAAACAAAAGTTATTAAGAGCTACAAAAGTGCAGGGAATTCTGGATATCGATGATCGCTAGCGTCCTTCCTTCCTTGAATATATCCTGCGAGTGTTAAATTCTCTAGGTATTCTTTTGTCATTATGTGTCCGAGAAAATTCGAATGTCTCTGATTGTAAACCTAAGCCTTCTTATTGTCCTTGTTTTACTTCAAAACTTCCTCATTGATCACATGTTCAATTAAAGTTATTGTCAGCAAGCGTCGGTAAAATCACATCTTTCGTTTCAAGTCTTTTCTTCATCTGTGAAGAGATTTTCCGGTATTCACTGCCATATAAGAGAATAGATATTATATCGCATTTCAATATTTTTCCTGTTTCCTACGAAAGTTCCCTGACTCTTAAAACTTTGCTTAGTTTCTCGAAGACATTTTTCGCTTTTCCAATGCGTTTTTGGGTTTCTATTCTATATTTTCCATCGTTTATTACTACATGACCCAGATAGCTAAAGTCCTGAATCTGTTTATCTTAAAATCCCTAGTAAGTGACTCATATCTTGGGTTGTCTCCTTTTTCTGCTAATAACCAGGCATTCTGTTCATTTATAGTTATTACACCTTTTGAAAAATCGATATATCAAAATACCTCTTTGATTACCATATCAACCATATTCATATGATTGGGCAATGCAAACAAATTACAATTCGAATGGGTTTACCATTTATTCAAGTTTCCTGACTTACCGGTATTTATCATTCCAGGATTCTTTTGAATCCACATTGGTAAAGCTAAGCCGAGAAGGAGAGAAGTTCCAATCACGAAGAGATTTCGGGAAGAATCCAAAGAGACATTCCTGAGGTTGGAAATTCCAACAGAAGAAACCATTCCTATCACAAAAATGAAAAAAATAAAGATTCAAAATTTAAAGATTTCAATGATGCTTGAATTTCGTACAGTCTCAAAATTCATTATGAATATTAAAGCTTTCTAACACAAGGGAAGGAATGGGGAATTGACAACTATTCAATTTCAATTACTTTTATTTTTACCTCGTGGATATATATATAGCCATCATATAGCTAACATTTTATTTAAGTGAGGTACCTCATGAGCGGTTATTTTTTTTACTTGAATATAAGAACCACCTGTTGGCTTATTATTTCTAGCTGATTTCGGTGTTTCATTATAAACTTCATATACTTTAAAAGTTATTAGAATCAATTGGAGTTGATTCGAAACGAACTGCACTATTTCTTGGCATGATTTACTTCTTGGTATGGAATTTTATTATTTGATCAATTTCTTTTTCTTTTTTTCCGAGAATTATTTTCATATTGTCATTCGTGCTTTCTGTACAATTTTCCTGTTTGAAACTCAGGCAAAACTTCATATGTATTCTCAACTGCGACTGCACATGCTTGTTTGATAATTGAATCGTTTTGAAGTTTTTCATATTAAAATTTAGGCACTCTTTGTGATTTCCTTAATTTATGCAATCTTAGCTTGAGATTTCTTAGGTATGTTTTTAAGTGCAAAATCGATTACGCTTTTATTTTTCTCTTAACCTCTTGACTAAGTGTCGGTATTAAGGATAATTAATGAATTGAAAACATTCGTTCTGATTGACAGTATTTTACATTTAAATTAAGGACAGCATACTATGTTAGCCATTTTGTGGTAAAATGTTACAGTAAAGGAAGCCGTTATTAAAAAGGCATTTATGCAAATAAAGATAGCGACAACGTAGAGTGAAAGCTTTCTGTTGTTGATCTCCGACAACATCTTAGCTACAAAACAAAAAAGGAACAAACAAAACAGAAAAAATGTAAGTGTTACTTACCAAATACGATGAAGAACATCCCACCAATTACAGGCTGAGGAATTGTGACGAAGAGAGCGCCGAATTTACCCAAACAGCCATGTATTATCATTACGAATGCACCAACTTGGATCACTCTTCGGCTTGCCGTCTGGTTACGTACAAATGAAAGGCATAAAATATTAGAAATTTTGTTGTCATGATTGCAGAAACATTATGACTGTAAACAATATATTTGCTTTAAAAATATTAAGTTTTGTGACATACCTTGGTAACTCCGATTGCACCGATATTTTCACTGTACGATGAATTGCCACTTGCAGCTCCCCAGGCACCGGCCAAAAAACAAGTAATACCTTCCATTCCAATTCCTGTAAAATTGAAAAAAATCATATCGTCATCTGAGTGGATTTAAATAAGAATAGTTATTTGAAGAGGTGTTGTGCTAATTTTGTGTATTAAGAGGTTTAATCAACTTTGTAAAATTAGCTTTTGATATCTGGCTTTTATCTACAACTGAACACAGGCAAATGGAATAGATGAAAAACATACAGCTGCTTCAACCTTATACATTAGGAAAATTGAGAACCTCGAGGTGGTGCAATGGTTAGCAAGCTTGTCTCGCTAGAACAATTACGACTGAGTAGTGAGTTCGATCCTCACTGGGTGCCCCTTACTTTCGGCCTTGTGCTACGCTTGGAAAATCACTACATCAGGAGAATTCCAATTTCTTAACGGTTTGTTACAATCCAGAAAGAGCTATGAGCGTTTAAATCTTGATGGTATCTGATAATATTAAGTTGAATTGTATATGGTCAATGTTAATTATGTTTTATGAATATGTCCTGAAGATGGTCTATTAGACCGAAACGTCCGACGTTGACATTAAACATTGAAACAGCATAATCGCATATTAGGATTTTTGTTTGTTTTTTCAGTATATTTTTCTTCATATATATATATATATATATATATATATATATATATATATATATATATATATATATATATTAGGCGAAAAATATGTCAGTGGGGAAAGTTTTCGTTTGACACATTTCATTTAGGGCTTCATTGGGCTAACGTCATGTTTACGTTGACACAACGTGACATTTACACGAAGTAGAAGGAATTATAAATTTAAGTTTTCTTTTTATGTATATTTTTTTGTATAAAGTCTATCCGATTTAATTTAATTTCTTTTTTTTTGTCTATGTATCCATCACTTTTACCGATGAATATCCAAGTCTGCCAAGAAAGGTAAAATGTTGTAAGTGACTTGACGTCTATTTACTCTGGATGGTTTAACAGTTAAAGCACTTTCTATATATTTTCATCTTAGTAAATTGCTTTCTCTTTTTATTAGATTTTAAATCAAAACTATGGTCTGATTCATAACGGTGAGCAACTACTGCATTTAGTAGGTTGTTTTGTAAAAAAACCTTCTGCGTTCATATAATCTTTTATTTAAATTCCTTTAGGTTTCATCTGTGCATTATTTGTGACAATTATTACGGGTAATAGAGTAAATTCTTCTTTCAAGCTTTAGCTTATTATTTTGTTTTGCATTAAGTATTTTATTGTTTTAGAAGTAATCGTAACAAATATTACGGTTAAGCTACGATAAATTCTTTTTATTTGTAGTTCTGATAGAGTTGGACAATATATTTTGATCCGTTCAGTTTATCAGGGACGTCTGCTTTTCTCTTTTGAAATATTTTACGATCCTTTTGTTTCGCGTTGAATATGTTATTTTAACAATTTTACCACAATCAAGGGTATAATATCACTATGCCGCAAGGGGTTACAAGGAGTGAAAGAGAATGAAGAGAGATTAGGGAGAAGTGTGGTAATGACAATAAAGCAACAGAATTCAGAAAGACAGTAAATGGCGGTTGACATTGAAGTTAAATCGTTTGAAGATTGTAGGTTGTAGGGAAGTAAAAAAAAAATCAGAATGGAGTTCCACAGGTGAGAAGTTCAAAAAAATAATATGTGGTGATTGAATATAGCTAGTTCAACTGTAAAATGGTGAGACCAAGATGCCAATTTAGCAGCACGCTTCATGTAGTCGAGACACTAGAGAAAGAAGCTCATCAGAACAGTTGCCATGAAAATATTTGTAGAAAAGAAAGAGGAAAGCCACGTTACGTTGGCGGGAAAGTGACTAAAGTCGAGATGCCAGGTCAGGACCGACCACATTACAGACCATTTGAATTTTGTGAAGAATATCGAGATATCCTGCTGGAGCACCGGACCAGAACCAGATATGACAACAATATTCAATGCACGGACGAATGGTACATTTATAAATGTGCAAAATGAATTCTGAGGAGAGAAAAAAAGTTTTCTGGCATGACATATTAAGCCAAATTTCCTAGCACTAGAAGTAGCAATTTATCAAATATAGTCACTCTACTTTCAGTGGAAAACATGAGTCCACGAAGCTATAGTGTGTTGCTCTTCTGGAGTCTAGCATCAGCCATGCTGGTGTCAAGCAGAAAAGATTCTCGATGGCGATTAATTGAAAGCAGTTTTGTTTTAGAGGCGTTAATATTTGCAGGTCACTTCTTGTCCCAGTTAACCACTGATCGGAGGTCCTTTTCGAGAGCAGTTACCAGTTTGACATTGTTAGTTCAATAAGATTTGCTATTAAGACAGAAGTAAATGGCTGCGTCATCTGTATAAATACGTATTTGAGAATTGATGACATCGAGGAGGTCATTGATCAAGATCAGAAACACCGTATGCTAGATCCCTGGCAGGACCTACGTAGTTATGAAATATAGTATAAAGTTATCTGAAAGCGTGCCCGTTCAACACAAATTTCATTACAGAGAACAATAAAATAAAATCCGCAATAATCATCGGATTCCATTTAACATCACCAGAATTTGTAGCATTCAATATTTACTTGAATTTGTAGCATTCAATATTTACTTGAATTTGTAGCATTCAATATTTACTTGAATTTGTAGCATTTAATATTTACTTGAATTTGTAGGATTCAATATTTACTTGAATTTGTAGCATTCAATATTTACTTGAATTTGTAGCATTCAATATTTACTTGAAGAGAAGAAATACTTTTAAACTTCATCAATACCCTAATTATATCATATTCAAGGCAAAAATAGGCTTGTAAAATATTTCAAAATAGAAAAGCAGACCTTCCTGACAAACACAATGATTCAAAATGCAGTTGCTTTGCCATTGTTAATTGTGAATATCTATTGTACCAGTTTAAAATTAGTTTGATATTTCATCCTGTGCAAGCTATATGATCGTTAATCGTACCTCTGTTGATGGCAGGAACAGGTGGAGGTGGAGCGCCAGCCATCCATGCGCATGCGTAGTAATCTCCAAATGATTGAATAATAGACGCCAGCACACCTGCAAAAATGCCCATTACGCCTGCCGCGCTAACGCTTGGCACTCCCCATTGACCTGATAGAAAAATGACAAATGCAAACAAACGAATTTAACTATTATAAGTAGTGATTCATAAAACAGTAATTTAGAAATCTATCACACACACACACACACATTTTATTTATAAAGTAAATCTACATTGTAAAATATTTTTATAAAAAGTTATTTAATAATTTACAATTAATAGCATTAATAAATTTATTGAAGCTATCATAAACAAAAAAGTTGTTGAACACCTCAACAAACAACATCCAAGCGACAAACAGTATGGATTCCCTCTTCTAGGTCCACTGTTGATGTCTTAACTATTATCACGCATAGAATCAGTGACGCACTAGATAATAAACATATCTCGAGAGTGATCGATATCTCGAAGGTCTTTGCTATGGTATGACACAAGGGATTGCTACACAAACTAACCAGCTATGGAATCACTGGGAGTTGTTAAGTCTTTCTTTTCAGGTAGGTTTATGAAGGTCGTCATCAATGTTTGTGTCCTCTAAGGCTCTCTCTTCGATTCTACACTCTTTCTACTTTATATTAACGATCTGCCTAAGAACACTCTCAGACCTTTTGTAAATATACATACAGATGATACAAGAGTATATGGGTACACCTCTAAATATCTCGATGTCCAGTGTCTGGCAGCTGATAATTCCTCTGACTAAACTCCCATAATTCAATGGGGAAAATACTGGTTTATAATATTCAATACACCCAAAATTAAGCTAGTAAAATTTCATCATCATCGAGCAGCAATCCTGATGAGTGGTCATACCCACAAAGAGGCTCCTTGGCTAGAACGTCTAATGGATCTAAAGCTCACTCCGGCCTCAAATGGAACGCGTATATCCATGCAATCGCAAAAGATGAAAGAATGGTTGGTTCATTGTATCTCTTCAGAAAATACCTAGCACCCTCTGCCATGATTTATCTTTATAAGAGTCAGATCAGGTCAAGAATGGAGTATCACTGCCAGGGTCAACGGATATCTATCATATACGTCTTCACAATATTCTCTTACTTCCCTCTTCCCCCTCCCTTACAATATCATTCATAGTCTACCTTGAGTGGCTCTTGTGTCTTTTATTGCGTGAACTAACAGTAAAAAAGATACAGTTTCTCAATCTGCAGTCACACTATATATCATATTTTTTGTCTTTTTTATTTTTCAGGTCGTTGTTCTTGGATTTGTGCCTTTTTTTATGAAATCATGTTTGCATGAAGCAAATGATAGTTTTATGTCTTACTATTCAATTTAGTGAAAATCTTTTGGAAACCAAAATAAATGTTTTCATCTTTGCTGCTTTGAAAATATTTCGGCTGTTGTGCACTCCGGCCTTCTTCAGGTGTTTGTCGATCCGGGTAACCTTCTGAGAGTTTCTAAATGAACTCTTTATTTAATTTGTTCTTTTGTTGTATTTCCCAGTTATTGCTCGTTCTGTCTCTACTGAGTTTGTGTGTACTACGCCACAAAACCACGAACGAAAGCTTTAATCGATTACGCTGTTGCCTGAAGAAGGCCAGAGGGGGTGCAATGTAGAACGTTTTGATAATAACATCAAAGTTGTCATAATGTAAAGGTATAAATAATGTAAATAATAATGTAAGTAGTAAGAGCTATTCATAAGTTGGCTTTACTTGGGGATGCTGAAAATTCCTTGGCTCGACCCACTTTAGAAAATTATTATTTCAATGACCAAACATAAGCATTATAGTCGGGCCGATAAGTTTTCAACAGCCACATTAGGGAACATTGGATGCTAGTTTTATTTTTAGAATAGGTTCACATTAACTGGTGTTCGCCCACTGAGAATTGAATAGCATTGTTGTAATAACCCTACAGTAGGTGGTTTTTATGTTATTTTCATTTTTTATAGTAAACTCAATTTAGTTTCGTCTTATCTAGAATCACAATACCAAGTTCACTCGATAGAAAGTTCAATAGTCACTCAAGATAAAAGATGACAGTAAATAAAAATGCTTGTGTTCAATGAGGTGCGTGATACGAACAGAAGTTAACGTGGCAAGACATGCAAAATAGGAGGTTTAGAAGGAAAGGAAACATTTACCTCTTGATTTGATGTGGTCAAGATTGAAACAAACATTCAGGAATCTCCTTCAAAAAGTTGTAGTTTTGAGAAAAGGGTGACTTGGACTTTATTCTTATATTTAAAACAAAAGAAATGCTAGGACAGAAAGTATATTAAAAGAAAGAAAGTAAAGGAATAGTGTTCGTCAGACATTTTGAAAAATAAGTTATCTGCGACGATAATCCAGAACAATGCTTAACCCGAAATACAGAAGCAGGAATTGTTCAAAAAGCTATCAGAGGTATCTGAAACTAATTTTATTTAATGCTATTTGAAATTCTACTTTGAGCTTCTCTACCAGTTTTATTGTCCAATTTACTCTGAAGTACGATGAATTATAATATGAAGTTTACTATAAAGTTTACAAGTGGTGTTAAAAAAAAATCAAACAAACCTGCTGTAAAAGGTATAATTTTATTTTAAGCATAATTTCCTTTTTAAGATAATAAGTACCGCGACTTATACTAAGTTAAAACTTAATAAGTGAGACAATCTATATTCACAGATATGTCTCTCCCCTATTACCGCTGCCAAGAAACTCAAGATGACAGAATAGATGAAAAATTCAAGTTACTGATTACCGCCTAGGAAACTTCTGCTTGCAATCAATGTTAGAGAATGTAACCCTCTTTCAATATTAAGCACACACACACACACACACACACACACACACACACACACACACACACACATATATATATATATATATATATATATATATATAATGATGATATGTATTGGTAAGTTTTTATGCTACTGTCGGACGGCCAGCTACCCCACTCCAACTTGCGAGTCAGGCGGGTTGTTTGCAACCCTGTATGATGAAAAGTAAGGGCAGAAGAATTCTTGATGAGTTAACGGCCAGCTAAATAGAGGTTGTGTCTCAATAAATCACCGTGAAGAAAGCAACGAGAAACCACTCCACTATCAATCCAAGAAATATCATGTCATTTAACAAAAAAATATGAAACATAAGGCGTGAAGGGGGTTGTATCTACTGGAACTTATTCCTCGCCCGATATAATGCGATATGCGATACATGTGGTTTCTGACCCTCATCCAGCAACTTTTCGAATAAATAACGTAAAAGGTGTCAAACTGCTTGGGATTGAGCCCTCGTCCGGTAAGAGAAGACATGAGCGACAGGTGTCACCTGACCGTCATCCAACGACTGTTCGCATCAAACAAAATATAATTCTCCGGACATAGAATGTTAGAACATTAAACCACTGTGGACAGTTAAAAAATATAAAACAAGAAATGGGCAGGTTAAATATCAGCATCTTAGGCGTATGCTGGTGGGTATGAAGATTTTGTCAGTGACAAACACAGGATCATACACAAGCAAAGAGAAAAATGAAAGAGGAGTAGGATATATACTAGGAAATGCGTTCTGGGATACTGTCAATTAATTGAATGCATTGTGGTTAAAGTTACGGGGTAGGTTTTAAACATGGCCATCATAGTTGTGTATGCACCGACAGCACAAAGTACAGAAGAAAAATTGAAGAGTTCTACTCTACGCTAGATGGCGCTAAATGGCCCTTTGCAAATCGTAAGCAAACACAATGGTCATAGGGAAGTGGAATGGCAAGACGAGAGGGATGGTGAAATAGCAAATTCGGACTAGAAACGGGTAATGAACGCCGAGGAAAATTCGTCCAATGGTGTACGGCGAATGACCAGGTAATAGTCAACACCTGGTTGTAAGATAACTCAAAACGAATATGGACACGGAGAAGACCAGGAGGAGAAACAAAGAACCAGATCGATTATATAACTATCAAAAAGATGTTCAGGAATACTGTTTTAGACTGCAAAACATATCCAAGTGCCGAATGTTGAAGCGATCACCTCCCAGTTTTATGTAAGATTAGAGTGGATCTACGGAATTGAAGGGAACTAAGGCAGCACCAAAATTGCAATGGAACGAATATGCCGGAGAACACTTCTACAATGAAAGAGAACAACTGGCAATACACAGAAATATCGACGGGCCGGGAATATACCGGGATTTATTACTGGAGGGCACAATCTTATCATAGGGTATGCAAATGACACAGGGATATTAGCAGACATAGAAAGAATGTCATAAACACTCCTACAGAAGAAACTGAAGAAAAGCGAAAGAAAGGATTAAGCAACAACTACAAGAAGACAGATTGCATAGTTGTTAGCAAAAGGATGAGTTCAAAGTACGAATTGCAAATTGGAGTTACCAAAATCAACAAGCGCGGAAATTTAAATATCTGGGAAGTCTTTTAACAGAGGATGGAAAATGTGACACTGAAATCCGAAGGCACATTCCCAAGAAGCATTCTACAAGCTAAGCAGAGTACTAAGGAATAGAAAGAAATTCGCCAGAAACAAGGGAAACAGTACTAAAATTCTATATGATACTTGTCCTCTTGTATGGCAGTGAGTGTTGGACGATCTTCTCAAAGATGAAGAGGAGACGTGAAGCAACAAAAATTTAGTTCTACAGAAGGATGCTGAGGATACCATGGACAGAACATGTGAGCAAAGAAGAGGTTTTGGAGAACATTGAAACAAAAAGAAAATTAATACTTAACATCAGAAAGAGACAGATGCTGTTTCTGGGGAATATAATGAGGAAGGAGGGCTTGGAAAATCTGATACTCATGGGACAGATAGAGGAAAACAATGCGTAATATACTTAGTGCGATTGACTAAATGGATGATTTAGGAGAAATAAGAGAAAGACAAAGTTTATTAAAAACTACTAGAAACGGGAAGTTGTGGAGAGTCATGCTTGCCTACGTTCTGAGGGGACATATCACATAAAGGAAAAATAGTTAGCAAAGCTAGTCCTCGCTGTGAAGATACTAATCCGTAGGACTAGAGAAGCTCATCACAGCATTTATCGAAGCAACGATAGGCTTGCAACATTGCGTCTGTGTGGGTGAAACGCTACACAAGCCATATTAACTGAACACTTCACTCTTTTGTTATTTACATTCTTTTTATTTACTCAGTTTAGTTTCGTCCGATCTAGAGCCACAATACTAAACTTGTAGTTAGGATTAAACACTACAGAAGCGAATGACTTGCCATATTAATCAGTGTTCTACAGTAGGCGCCTCTCTGTTGAAGCAAAAAAGCGAGAGAAAGAAGTAGGAATGTAATTAAAAAAAGTCATGATTGTTGATAAAGGATTTAATTCTTATTTCTCTTTAATGAAATATAAAAGCATACCTGGATACGGAAAACGAAACCATGCTGATTTTTCAAGTACATCAGTGTAAATATCCGTTCGGGCCGCGTAGCCCCATTTGTCTTTCTCTTTGGGGAAAACGTCTGTGATGGTTAGAATGTAACAGAACAGCCAGGATATGAAAATAGCAATTAATAGCTGAAAATAAGAAAGCAGGGATTTCTTAGAGATTTTTAAAATAATTCTATAATAAATAAATGCGCTGGGCGGAACAGATATTGCGGATATGAAAGACCACATTATTAGGCTATCTAGCTTTATGCCAGTGCATTAGAGGTCCGGCACGAAAGAGATGTACAAAATCCGTAAAAAGGACCCAAGTTTCCTGGTATATTAACCATTACAAATAGGTATAAAGGATTCTGGCAGGTGCTTTTGGCCCTGCAGTCTTTAATTAGGCAAAGGAATAGAAAGGTCAGGTACCCAATAAAGCTAGAGCCCTTTACATTTGAGATGACGTTATAAGATGTAATATCGATATCAAGCTTCATATTTTGTGAAAGGAAAAAAAATAACATTTTTTCTATTTTTTATTTTTTATAAAAATTCAATAGAAAAAAAAAACATATCTATAAGTGTAAATTGAAAATCTCAAAAGTTACTTACAGGAAACATTTTAAATAAGGAAAGAGATGTTTTTGTGCATCCACTGCCTTTCTTGTAAATAAAACAGGGTACATCAATATTTTTCATATATTGTGAAAATATACAAATCAGTGCGGTAGTCCTGATGAAAAAAGGAAGAAATAAATAAATAAAAAACAAATCAGATTTTACTTTGTGCGCGTCGCATTTGTTTTTAAGGTCGAAACAAAGTATTTGCGCAATTTCCAGTGAATATCACTTCCAATCCAGTCATATTTGCTTTTTTACTCATTTCTCGTAGTACAGGAATGTCATGTTGCAAAAAGTTATATTTTTTCTCTCTAGTGATTTCTACAAAAGGATATTGAAAATTCCATGGACAGAATGGCAACAGAAAGAACACTTATACTCAGAAAATGCAATAAACAATTAAAATTCGTTGTATACAATAAGGAGGGAGGGCTTGAAAAACTTAACCCTTAGGGAGCATATTGGGAGCAAGAGAGATATGTGAAGGCAGCGAGCCATTGACGTAATGAGCCTGTGTGAATTAATGGCTGAATAGGGAGGAGGTGCGTTGCTTTATTAGAGAAAGAAAAACTGCTAAGAGTCACACGAGATAGAAAGTTGTGGAGAGCCATGATTGTCTCTGCACTGAAGGGACACGGCACATGGAAGAAGAAGAAGTAGTGTACGAAAACACTGCCCTTTTGTAAAAAACAATCAAAAGACAAGGCTCTGCTGATTGGCTGTTAATTGTCGCATGATCAGTTAAACTCAACTCATATTAATCTAAGGAAGAAGAATTATCACAACAAATTTGTTTTTTATTTTAACACTTCCTCCACCTTTTCGCAATATTAGCAATACCGTTGTCGTCCAAATTAATTATTCTAGTTATAAATATACAAATTTAAAGATTAGACAGATATCAACGTTATATATAAACAGTAATGTGCAACTTACAGCAAAGCAATGTACCATTGTCCGGCAGAATAGTTAGTTGCGACTTCGAACAGCGAAAGTCCAATCAAAGTGATTGTAGGCATAATGGTAAGAGGACCAACAAAAGATAAAAACACTTCCATTAACCCACTGAAGCCGATGAAGATCTGGATCAGGCTGCCGACCATCAAGCAACCCTGGAACTGAAAATACAATATAAACAAAGAAAATAACTGGGATCTCTGTGTCACTTTCACTGATAATATCGATAATAGTAACTCGTATTTATATGAGCGCAGCCGAGGTAAATATCTATCGCAGGAAAACTTGTAGTGATTCAATTGTTGGCAATATGAAGCACTCGGTGAAGATCTATTTCAGAATATGAAATATTGACGGGGATAATTTACTAACCCTTGAACAACTTGTAGTAATAGAGGTGACATATACTAAGCATTAACATGTACAGCAAAAGAACACAGTAGGAAGTGACCCTATCAACACATTCCAATAGTAATGGTGTAAATGACACACTAGCTTGCTATGGCGCACTATGTACATCTATTTTCTTCTCTATATAAAAATACAAAGTTTAATCAAAATTACATGATCATACATTTAATTCTGAAATCATCAAAAATCAGTGAATAGCGATGTTTCACCGATTAAGTTTTAACCTAAAATCTAAGTCCATCCATCGAAGAATGAGATCTTTTACATTTTTCTTTTGCCAACACGCATATATACGGTATATTAAAGGCAATGTGTATTCATATATATTGCACGAATGCATGGAGTATTGCTGTCATATATAGTCTGGAGCCCCTTCTGTTTGTCTCGGGGTTCTTGATAGGCTCTAGAGGTGGATATGCAATATAATTGGCCCTGTTCTGGCATCTCGTCTACAGTCACTTTTTCACAGACGCGCCGTCGCCTCTCTCTGTCTGTTTTACAAATACTTTCATGGCAATTGCTCCGAGAGCTGCATTCGCTGGTTCCCAGACCTCATGAGTTCAAGCGCCCTACGAGGCTGGCATCCCTTTCTCACCTTTTCACCGTCGAAACTCCTAAATGTAGCCGTCTCTTCTACTTCAGCTAGCTTGCTGTCTGCACCTCTCGCCTTTTAACTCCTTCCCTATTCCAGTTTCCCTGAGAGCTATAATCTCCAGCTATTCAAATGTATTGTCAATCGACATCTCCAGTTGCCTTGACCTATCCACTACCCTTCTCCTCATCCTTTCTTCTATCACTCCTATCTGATCTTCTGTAACCCTTTGCGTCATAGTGGCTTCTCGCCTTGCTTGGGGTGTAACGCTTAAAAAGAGAGAGAAAAGAATAGGTAAGCTTAAACAGTGTGTCGGAGAGTATAACTAGCATCATAGACAGAGAGCACATTCGCACTGATTGTCGGCAGATTCATACGGAAATAATCCCGATATTTGCTAATAAGAAAAATATAAACCTAAGCTATAAACAAAAAACAGTTAAGAGAGAACATTGCTTTTATGCATGATTTTCTTACATTGAGAGATTCTTATCAAGTTAGACTTCATACAGAAAAGAGAGTTCAATAATTATAACATCTATCTATCTATCTATCTATCTAGCCAAAGTCAGTTCAAATCTATCTATCTATCTATCTATCTATCTATCTATCTATCTATCTAGAAAAATCTATCTATCTTAAAGTATCTATCTATCTATCTATCTATTCATTCATCTATCTATCTATCTATCTATCTATCTAGCCAAAGTTCATATCTATCTATCTATCTATCTATCTATCTATCTAGCTAGCTAGCTAGCTAGCTAGCTAATTATAACGTTATTTTAGAGGGTACTGGAGTTGAGTTGTTATTCCTGTTTTTATTATTATTTTTTTTATTTTGCCTAAACTGAAGTTAATAACAACTAGCCTAGTTCACTGTTAAGGGTGAAAATGGAAGTCAACAAAAAGTCCCAACAAGAGATATGCTTTCCTTAAATGAGCAATTTGAAGTAGCATGCTTTGACTTGTGCATTCCACGAGGAGAAAGATATAGTTTCGATTCCTGTCAGGAGGTACAACGTTTCTTTCTTTGGACTTCTTGATCTCGTCTGGTCGTGAATTATTCATTGTTATTTCAAGGATAACAACTCATTCCCATATACCCACTAAAAATAATTTTATAATAATAAGAAATAACTCCAGATTTTTATATATATATATATATATATATATATATATATATATATATATATATATATATATATATATATATATATATATATATACATGCTACCATTTCTTAGACTAAAAGCATTAACCATCAGTATAAATGCTTCGTCGTAATTCAGTACAGAAAAATACTAAGTTTTTTTTAACAGTGACCACCGAGCCCTTTTACAACTTATTGAAACTTAATTCGCCGATAAATTCTAGCCCAGACTTCTTTTTATGCCAATATACCAGCTGAAAATAGACGATCGATTTTTGTTAAGATTTTTTAAAACAATCTTCTCATTTTCTATCTTGTCTGCTCAGCGCGATAGAATTTATGACCCGCACAAAACTTATAATCATCAACTATATATTTGGTAACCATAGATTAGGATACAATTCTGGGCATATTTGATTATTTTTTTCGGAAATTGATTGCCATGTTTTTACTTGAGTTGTCTTCGTTTCTTCATCGTTAAAAATATATATAGATATAAAAATTATTTACCTCTCGGAGACGAAGTTGCCATATCTCACGGTGACCCTCGCTGCCAACCTCAGGTAGAGTATTATTCACGGGAAGATCTGAAATATATCAAGTTGGGATATAAACTGTATTAAATACATACTAGTATGCTAGGAAGATTGTCTTATAAATAGAGCTTGCCTCCTCCATCCACAATTCACGGTTTTCTGTCTCGGTCCCAAATTAAGATCATCAGAACATATTTAAAAAAAAATTGTTATTAAAATTTCCCAGGATTTTTCAACCAATTTTTAATACACATGGTGTTGAGCAAATATCACATAGAAACAAATGTTCTTCCGATACTTGCATGATATCGATGATTTTACAGTGATAACCAAAAAATTGCAAAACGAATATCCCATCAATTTATGAATCAAGACATTATAAAACACTTAGTTGTTTCTCTCCGTTCATTTATTACCAGAGAAATCTTCATCATCCTAACATCTCTGCAGATTAAATTTGGTCACTGTTCCGGGTCGTTATACGATTCCACATAACGATTTTACAAGTCCGCATGAAAATATTTGAATATAAAACACGATTAAATAATATTTCAACTGTAGATTTTAGATTTTATCTAATTTCATGATTTACATAGTAATTTAGTTAGAACAACAATACACAGAAATAACTGCGTCCGATATTTTATCTGAGAGGATATATCGTTTGTGACAATTTCAATGCGTCTTTCATTGAATAAATAATATTCACTTTTGATTAAAATGGATTTTTCACACACATACATTAGGGGTCATATACAACTACAATATAAATGTAATCGTCGACAGGAGGATGTGATTAGTACCTTGTGTCATAAGCAATCTAAGAAGAAGTTCAGATTCACCAGGCATGGAAGCGTACATGATATCAATCATGAAAACGCGAGATAAACAAATATATCAGGTCATCACATAAGTTCTGTCCGAAATTTGAATAAAGAAAACAAGTGACCAAATGTTACATTTAATTAAAGATTCAATAAACAATGTATTTTCCCTGATTATCTATGACTTCCTTCCATCTATTAACAAGCTTACTAATTCCATTACTGTAAAATTCTTTTGGCTTTGATTCGAAGAACTCTCCACAAATGTCAGTTTAACCTCTTCCTGTGTTACAAAGCTGTTTCTTCCAAATGATTCTGGTAAGTTACGAAACAAATGAGGTCTGAAGGAGCAAGATCGGGAGAATAAGGTGATGAGGAATTTTCTTCGATCTTTTTTGTGGACGTGATTCTGCTGTGGGTCGCGTATTGTCCTGATGAAACATCACCTCTTTTCGATTCACTAGAGCAGGTCTTTTTTTCCCGCAAAGCTTGGGTCAAAACGCTCTAATTGCTGACAGTATATTTGAGCATTAATTGTTGTATTAGGTGGTAAGAATTCAAACTGAATTATTCCTTGGCGATCCCAATTAGATTGAAAAAGAACTTTTGCCCATGAAGTTCCTTTCTCGGCTGTATGGGGCCCTTCCCCTTTACCAAGCCACTGTCTACGGCGCTTAACATTTCGATAAAATATCCATTTTTCGTCGCCAGTCACAAGTCTATCCAAAAAGGTGAAACAAGTTGGCGATAATGGAGAAAGAGCAGATGTCAACTCAGGATTTGAGGTTGTTTTCAGACAATTCATGAGGCACCCATTTTTCCAAGTTTAGAACTTTTCTAAGTTGTTGAAGATGACGATGAACAGTTGTATGTTTTGAACTGAGAACCACTGCCAATTCCTCTACTGATAAAAGCAGGATTTTCTTCATATTGTTTCAAGAAGCTTTTCCTCAAACTCAACTGGACGTCCGGTTCGATGTTCATCTTCAAGGGTGAAATTCCACCTCTGAATTTGCAAACCATCTTCTGTAAGTTCTTTTTTCATTCACATTCATCTCATAAACTGGTGAATGTTTCAGCCGCTTCGGCTGCTGAGTTTCCTTTTTTGAACTCATAAAGAATTATGTGCCTCAAAAGATTCTTGGGTACTTCCATGTTAGCAGGGTTTTAATTAAGCAAAATTTAATTTTATTGTTCTCTGAAATAAAATTTGATCAGTTTAAATGCATCTAAACATAAAAATAATGTTCAGCTCCATTAGACATTATGAAATACTCTTTAAATTTCGTTCATTTTAAAAAAGGTAAAATTCGGACAGAACTTATGGGATGACCTGATACAAAATAAATTTTTTCGTTAACAATGTCGCAATTTAAAAAAAACCTTACTTGCGTTAGAGTTCATGTACAGGCAGCGACAGAAGATAAGTAATTAGTAAGGGATATTTACTGTAATCGAGTGGACAACTTTTTCAGGATATATATTTTCTGGCATTTATCGACCTGAATAACTACAGGTAAAAGTACGCCATGTTGTATGTCTTTATTTATTTATCCATTTAATACAATCTCAGTTTGTTTTAACACTGTTCATTTTTGGGACATTTTATTATCTGTACGTTATTATAAGAACACACACACACACACACACACACACACACACACACACACACACACACACACACACACACACACACACACACACACACACATATATATATAGAATATAATATTTTCGATATACATTGAATTCTAACACACATACGCACGCACACACACGTGCGCACACACACACGTGTGTGTGTGCGTGCGTATGTGTGTTAGAATTCAATGTATATCGAAAGTCAGCATATTTGTCTTTTTACACACATCATGACTATAAAACGAAACTGGTATAGTAACACATTAGAACATGTAGCACTCATAATTTGTTTACCTACAACGGTTAAAAAGTGATTTAAAGTGTTTATCGGACGGATTAGCTTATGTTACGTCTTTAGGGAGAGTTGATTTTTAAAAATGCTAAAAATTCCCTGAATACGCAATTTTTTATTGACAAATTGTTTCAAGGTGTCAAAAATACAGTTATACCAATCAATAACAACAAAAATACAATATACATTCCTATTTTAATAATTACACTCATGTATTAAAAGAAACACTACCAAATATTCATCAAAACTAAATTACTGAGACTCATAAAATGTCACTAATTCTTGCAATTAAAGACCAATACCACATTATCTTTGTACATAAATCAAAACTTGCACTAAACCAATGCAGGATTCGACAGTCATTGATGGCAATAAATCTCGTGTCATTATTACCAAGAGTAGAAAATGGCCTCAAAAGCTGTGCACAATCTTGAGATTATGAACACTTCCGCAAGATTGAATTGGGACGATTTAATTAACATTTAACAAAGAAATAATTTTTAGTTATAAAAAATATGTAAGTACATTTTCCCAAACTCTTACAATTTTTAACAATTTATCAAACTATTTCATTCTTCATAGGCCAGTGATCGTAATAAGATTATCTAAATCATTAAAAGTAAAAACATGTACAAATAAATCCAATAAGAAACAAATAAATAACAATAAATTAAAATATTGGTTTTATTATTTATTAATGAAATTCGTCGTTAGGAAACACGGAGCATGTTCGCTTTCTGTGGCGTCAAATAATGTCTTGCATAACAACGGAAATACATTACTAAGTATGGAAACTTGGTTGTATGACTAGTAAATATATAAAGACAAATTCTGTTTTGTTATTAAAATAACCAGTATTAAATGACTTCATTCTTAAGTCTGTGATTTCCTGACTTCATAAGAGCCTTGTCATTGCATTAGAGAATTCCTGCTTTCTTTGAAATGTTCTGAGGTGAAGACCCCTTGTTGAATATGTTAGAATAAGAAGTCATATTTATACAATTCTATATGCAATATGCGAGAATAATTCCCATAAAACATGACTGAATTATTTATGTCAGTTTTTCTTGCATTTCTCTTTTGAATATTTCTATCTGTTTAGTTAACCGTGACAAGAAAAACAATATTGACATTTAGCTTTTACGTCATAAGATTGTATGCAATTATACAAACAAGAATAATGAAATGAATTGAATTCTGAGCTTGTTTATAAATCTTTGGAGAATGAGAAAGGCATAAATCCATCCTTTTCATAAACGTAAAGAAAAGTGGACATAAAATGGTACTTACCTCCTGTATAAGGGCATTTCCATTTTTGCAATGAAAATAACATTATAGCAGGTGCAAGAAAACTAAAACTTGCACCTTGCGTGATTGGAAGGCTAGACAAATAAAAGAAAAAAAATAATCAAAATCTTATGTTAAATTGCCGTGTACAATCGACGTTTAACATTCATTAGAAAATAACCCTTGTGAATTTCTTCGGTTGAATATAAAATGCGATCTTTTAGTCAAGAAGGGAAACCAAAATAGTACAGCCTTCCTAAAAATGACTGTAACATTTTCTATTTTCTACAGAAACCAATATTTTGCCAAGTGAGAGATTAGAAAAGAACAGCAGTATAAATAAATAAATGCAATTATATTGATCAATTTGTTTACCGTATAACAGTTTATGAAAATGGCGAATCTGAGACCCGACATTACGACGATGTATTATGTAATCCTTTACTAAGTAATATTTTATTGAAAATGTTTACTTTGGTTTGATAGCGATGCTAATATAATTATTAAAATAATAACTAGTGTCGCGTCAGTTTTTCCTAATATTCTTAATTGTCTGCCATATATGGGTAAGACAAGGAAACAAAAAGGATCCTTGAATCAAAGGCTTTCTCTTTGATGAAGCCATTTAAGTTTCCATTTTTGACTAGCCACTCGTGTTACTTTTTACTCTTTATTCAGCATATGGAAGGCATCTTCAGCTATTCCAATGTGCATTTTGATTGTGTCGCCATTTTTCGTTGTGTGTGATAATAATGAGCCTAACCCGTACTACCCATTTCATTAGGAACCACACCCTGCATAAAAGGCCATTTAATTATTTACGATTCAGTTTTGTTGAATAAAGCTGTCAGTTTTAACTCAGAACCGGTCTTTCCCACCGCGGATTTTTGGAATCGTCCTCTTTTTGATTGTTGGTTGAAAAATAAGTGTCCATTATGTCTACGCTTTGCACATGGTTTTTACGAATAGATTTTTTTTGCCACTTTTTCTGGAACTATTTTGTTGAACTTTTTGTTGTATGTGCTAAGGTGGGACCCCGCCAATATAGCGGAGTCTCCTCAACACCGGGATTCTCAACCAACACGCCATGTGAATATTACTACGCACAGCCTTCCTGACACGCAATGAGACCATTACTATGCACAGACTGCCTTACACGCCATGAGACCATTACTATGCACAGCCTGCCTTATACGCCATGAGAACATAACTATACACATCCTGCATTAAACGCCATGAGACCGTTACTATGCACAGCCTGCCTTACACGCCATGTGACCATTACTATGCACAGCCTGCCTAACACACCATGAGAACTTTACTATGCACAGACTGCCTTACACGCCATGAGAATATTACTATGCACAATCTGCCTTACACGTCATGAGACCATTAATATGCACAGCCAGCGGTACACGGCATGAGAACGTACTATTCACAGTCTGCCATACACGCCATGAGACCATTACTATGTACAGCCTGCCTTACACGCCATGAGACCGTTATTATGCACAGCCTGCCTGACACGCCATGAGACCATTACTATGCACAGCCCCATTACATCCGCCATGAGAACATAACTATGCACAGCCTGCCTTACATGCCATAAGACGTTACTATGCACAGCCAGCCTTACACGCCATGAGACCATTACTATGCACAGCCAGCAGTACACGCCATGAGACCGTTTCTATGCACAGCCTGCCTTACACGCCATGAGACCATTACTATGCACAGCCTGCTTTACACGCCATGAGAACATAACTATGCACAGACTGCCTTACACGCCATGAGACCATTACTATGCACAGCCTGCCTAACACACCATGAGAACATTACTATGCATAGCCTGCCTTACACGTCATGAGACCATTACTATGCACAGCCTGCCTTATACGCCATATGACCATTACTATGCACAGCCTGCCTTACGCACCATGAGAACTTTACTATGCGCAGACTGCCTTACACACCATGAAGAGAAGATGCTCCATGTGCAATTCATTGCCGTCGTGCTGTCACAACTTGGAACAGTGATATTAAAAAACCATGTACGCCAGAATAGACAAGAACCACTAAAAGACAGAGTGTAACTGATAGAAGCTAATCCTCAATATGTCTTTATAAGCTATCACGACGGAAATTAAGATATGGTCTCCCTAAGAGACCTCCGGGGGACTACTTAGAATCTCATAGCCCTATATTCTCGTGGTATGAATCGAGTGCAGACGAGCGATCGATGCCACAAAAAATTGCCCTTCCTACCACTGATAATAGCGATAATACTGAGGGCGCACTAAACTACCAGCGGAGAAGGCTGAAACGTAAAAAAGTGAGACACTCTGACATCGAATCTCAGAAAAGCAAGTTTCGAGACCTTCTCTAAACAAGAGAAAGAAAGCACAGAAAACGCTGACAAAGTTGAAGACCAATAAGCACCCTCAAGATGACCGGGCATTTTCTTCTGTACGAGTAAAACAATAACCGGAGGAGAATGTTATAACAATGAACCTAACCCATCCTACACATTTCAATAGTAACCACCCTTTATAAAAGGCTGTTTAATTACTAATGATTTAGTTTTGCTGAATAAAGCTTCTTAAGTTTATATTCGGCGTTGTTTATTCATTACAGTATGTTAAAACAATTCCCGTGACTTTGTCTTCGCGTAGAAAGTCACAAAAATATAAAGTAAGCCTGGTTATGGGGATTACGACCTTGTAACAGCACCTCCTCATTGCAAGAGTATTAGAATATTTTGATCTTTGTGTAAAATTAGTCACAGAGATTGGAAAATCTTTGTTCTTGCCCGCACGTATGTGTGTACCCATCACATTTAAATGACCATTTGTCACATTCTAGCCCAATATCTATCGAGGTGGCGACATAAGCGAAGAAATACTTTTGTCCCAGTGACTTATTCTTTTTAGATATTTTAAAGATTACAATCAACTTTAATTGATACAGGAATGAGCGAATTGATTTTAAAGGAATTCTATTGTTAAAATTCTTGGCGTTCTGTAGAGATATCTGGATATTTTAGAATTCTTAATCCTTCAATTTTGATAATGATTACCCGTAAACATTGTTTGGCCTTGTAGCTTACCGACATCCAAATGTAGTTTGAAGCAGCGTGCTCAATCCAGATATGAAGAAAGTGGTAGAAATTAGCTCACTGATTCCGAGGCTGTCACCATTCATACAGAAAACCGAATTAGCCACAATTATTGGAAGCATCAGGTTGCCACCGAACGCTGTCAAGTAGTGCTGCAAATATTGATATGAAACACCAGTATTTTAGATGACTGAATATTTTCAAGAGTGTTTCTTCGGAGGAACACAGTTATGAAACATTTTCAGTATAAAAATAATTTCTAATTACATAGAACATGCCGAGTATTTTAGAGTTTTTGTAATTATTCAAAAATCTTTTTATCAGAAATTTTAAACAATTTTAAATTTAAACTACCAAAATATGCTTATTTTCTCTATTTAAATTAAAGTAAAAGTATTAATAATCAGAACAAATGAAGTAAAGAATTTTATTGGTAGCGGCCTTGCCTCGCAGGTCATTAACCATAAAATTAATTCCTCGCTGTTTGGACTACAATGATAGATTTCTGTCAAATCTAGCATCATCCAATAAATAGACAATTCTGTCAAATCTAGCATCATCCAATAAATAGACAATTCTCTCAAATCTAGCATCATCCAATAAATAGACAATTCTCTCAAATCTAGCATAATCCAATAAATAGACAATTATTTATAAAAAACAGGTGCAATGAATATTTATACAATTTGCTTGTGAAATTACCTTTTTTCTGACTCCATATTTCCTACCAACACCAGTGATTGCTGTTCGATCTCGGGTACAAGTACTGATTTCGAATGTTGTTTTTCAAAGCAAAGGGGCCCTACCCTATATCAAAGACAAACCCTATGATAAAGACTTGGCTTTTCTCTCGTTCTTACTACAAAACTACACATACCTTCCTCAGTCTATGCACTCTTGGGAGTATTTAGATAATTCACCCAATTTCCAGGAAATGCGTTTACTCACTCAATTTACAACAATTTGCTATTATTAGTTATTCACTAAATACCCATTGAAAGAGGGAAAAATGGAAATGGTCGGAGGAGAGAACGAGAATGAATGATTATTGCGCAAGAGAGAAATACACTTACCTGAAGACCCAACAGAATACATATTTGCCAAGGGGGGACATCATTTATTTTGTATATTAATTCCGATTCACTCTCAGCTACACTCGTCTCAGGTTTGGCAGGAGGGCTTAAACTTCTGCCATTTTTCTTTTCCGGGTTTGTTGAGACGGGATCTTCATCCTGAGGGAAAAAAGCAGACGGTAAAACATGGTAAACATCTGGGTAATTCCATACCAACTCAACCAATGGTCCCATGGCCACCATCTCAGATTTTGATTAAATTTTAGTATGTTGTACTCGCCTATGAGAAACTAAACTATCCTAAAATCTTCCTAAAACTAAGAATTATGAACTTTTGAAATTTAATGACAATTTTTACTGATTTCAAAATTTAGCTCTTCAGAACTCTGGATACCAAGAAGATACCAAATTCATATTTGGTAGTCCTGTAGTTTAATAGATGGAGATATGTGCTTGCTTTTAAATGTATGCATTAATAAGTGTAAACTTTTAGCAGAGCTAAGCAAATCGATAGAATTGATACGGTCAAAATCGCCGAATTTCTAGCGATTATCTAAATTTAAAAAAATAGGCATAATTTTTCAATAAAAAACACATTTGTAAAGTCGTAAAGATTTAAAATCCAAAGATTTTAAATGAAGTATGAATAATTCAAAGTTATCAATAAGACTTTACAATTTGCATGTGCAGGTGAGGTGATGGTTACATGTTGGGAAGATTGAGTTCTATAGTCTTGGTTGGCAACCAGGCAAGGAGAAGAAAAATACTGAATTCAATCCAACCTAGAGGGCTGTCTTACTCGTGAAACACCACTACTGCCATGGATTTTTTATCATTTCACCCCAAGCAAAGCAATAAAGTCACTAAGATGCAAAAGTTTACTGAGTGTTACTGAGAATATAAGAAAGAAAAAAACTGTTAAGCATTGAAATGAATAAAAGAATAAGAATTAAGAAGTCAGATTATAACATTTGGCATTGCATTTAAATTTTTTAAGATCAAAGTTAACTGGGAAGCAAGAAGCCTGAAGAAAGTTCCCACAACTGAGAAGTCCGAGAGAAGAAATTAGCATAAAACTTATGGTTGCATTCTAGCAATTTTATCTGTAAAATGATCAGACCTTGCCGCCAATCTCGTACTACGCTTAAATTCATAAGGTAAGTTCATCAGGACAGTTACCATGAAATTATTTATAGAATAAGGCACAGGGGAGCTACGTTACTGTTTTTATGTTCAGCTGAAGCTGAGATGCCAGGTTATGATCAATAAAATTGCATATTCTCTTGGGGATTTTATCAAGAATCTCTAAATACATAGCAGGAGAACCTGACCAAATGTGGCAACAATATTCAAATGGACGAATGGCAGACTTATAAATATGTAAGATAGATTCTGGCGAGATAAATTGTCTAGCGCGGCACAGTGAACCGACTTCCTAATAGCAGACTTAACAATGGTTTCAATGTAATAGTTCCACTTCATGTCAGTGGAAAACGTTAGCCGGAGATGCCGTGAAGAGTCACTCTCCTGGAGATTAGCATCAAACATGCTGATGGAAAGCAAAAATATTTCTTTCAGAGGATTAAAAGAGAGTAGTTTCGTTTTGGAGGTGCTAAAATTAACAAGCCATTCATTACCCCACTTAACAACATATTCGTGGGTAGCAGTTTGGTTTAATTCTGCAATATTTGTGGGTAGAATTAAAAAATATTCGGCTTTAGAAATCAATTTTAATTGAATAACAAACGGAATGAAACAAATATTTGCACGAAGATCTACAACAAATATACCTGTGTGCGTTTATTCTTGTTCAATGTTTAGAAAGTTTGTCAACAACACCCGTTCACTAGTATTGAAAATTTGTTACAACTTCTGTTATGGCTTTGGGACAGGCGCAATCAACCCCAACGAAACTGTTTAGTAATGGGTGTAAAATCTAAAGCAATAATACACTCATGGTAATGGTGGCAGTGAGCTAAATAATATATTCATGGATATTGATATTTTATATTGGTGTGATAGCGCCAGACAGTATGTTGTACATATGTTTGCTTCAACAAAGACACGTAATTAAAAATAAATAAAATAAGTACGCGAACGAGTTACAGACGAGAGAAAAACGCGCATTAAAGTGTCTCTTTCTAACAAAACGCAAACCTTTCAAAATATCTTTAAGAACAATAAAATATTTCTTTACTTACTGTTCTGTCGAACGCCTTGTTTTCCAT